ATTTTTAATATCAGACAATAGTTATTTCAAATTCAGTTTCTGTTAGCTTCCGCGTCATACGCGGTCAGAACTGGTGGCAGCGATACCTTTCTCATCGCCCAAAAATAAGAATTAAATATATTTTCATATATTTCTTTTACGTTGCGCGCTCACGCAACGCGCAACGTAACACTTTCCAATCTAATAGGAGATATTTCCGCAATGAGCTCGCTTGCAAAATTGTATGGAATTTATTATTGTTAATTACTATTGTTATAGCTAAAAGCTTATTTCTTGGTGTTACTCTGCAAGGAATGAATCAATCGCGATGAAACCGTTTGTAACGGGCAATGTGTTTAATGTGGGTATTTTGTAAAATGGTCGGGCATTGTGTAGAATGCCCGGTCGAAAAGACATTGTGCAAAATGTCCGTAACAAGTTTCGGTCAATCTATGAAATGTCCGATCATTATACAGAATACCTAGAGGGTGGTGGTCAATGTATCATAACGCTCTTGTTATATCGATGTGATAGGTTAGATTAGGCCGCGGCGCGCCTTAAGGCGGCCGGCAACACTTTCCTAAGACAATAGTGTTGATTAAATAATAACAAAAGCGATGCCGGCCGCTTCACGGCCTGTCTAAGGATCGTATAACGTTACTTTTGTGCAGTAATGCGTCGGGGGATTTTATGACAAAACCTTTGCTAGTTTATAGATCTTTAAATCCCCGTGCACTTAAAGGCATAAGTAAAAACACCTTACCGGTATATTGGAAAACAAATCCAAGATCTTGGGTGACTGGAAATTTATTTAAATATTGGTTTTTAAATTGTTTTGTGCCAGACGTTGAAAATTATTTAAAACGGAAAAATTTGAGCTTCAAGGCGCTATTACTATTAGATAATGCTCCATGTCACCCACAAGATTTGAGTCATCCCAACGTCAAAATAGTGTTCCTACCACCTAACACAACTTCGTTGCTCCAACCATTGGATCAAGGTATCATTCATACCTTTAAAACTTATTACATAAGAAGAGCATTACAGTGGATTTTAGACGTAACCGATTCGAAATCAATTAATGTAATGGAAGCTTGGAAGCAATTTTCATTTATGCACTGCATCTACATCATATCTTTGTCGCTGGAAGAATTAAAAACATCAATGTTAAGGTGATGCGAGCGTCGAAAACTTTACCGACAGTTCCTAGAAAAATCCCTAGACGCGAGTTTTCGATTTTCGTCGTCATTTCTAAACAGAATGCAAAAAAATTTGAGGGACGTGTCCAGGAGGCCCTAAAGAATGGCGCTCTGGTCCTTATTTTACCCAAATCGTCAAAAAGTTATAAAATATTGAAATTTGTCTGTCCACAGTCAAGAAAATGGCGGATCGGACTTACCTGCATGAATTTATTTGTAATATAAACATTTTTGCGAAACGAATGTCCAAATAGAGACCAGAGCGCCATTCTTTGGGTCGGATAGAGCAAAACGAGCACTCAGGGGATGGTGTACAAGCGTTCGTTTAGACAAAAACTGAAAACTACGATTTCGTTTGATTTTTCACTCGCGAAAGACGTCAAAAACAGTAGGGCGCAGTTCGTTCGTTTTTGCGCTCGACCGCGCGCTTATTCGCAGCTCGTATATGTGAATATGTGTGCGTCGACCGAACCGTCGACGACGATACAATGTATCATGGAGAATGGGACGTTCGAGCCTTGTATAGGTAATGAACTCCGACGCGTGAATTTCTTTTCCACGTCACGTACTATCGATAGTGAAACTACGATAGCGATTTTCATCCCATGTGTCACGAGATGTACTATCATTATTTTTTGTTGCTATTATTATTCCTTTTTTGCTGAAACTACAGAATAAATACTCCTTCCCGATTTCGATGATTTTTGGATATATTATAAAAATCGATATTTTGAATAATTTTTTCTTATACATATAAGGAGCGGTCTCGCTTAGTTTCCGAGATATTCGCAAAAAGCTGCCTATAGTTGTTGATCTGTGACAGCATACATATGCGTCAGATTGGTTGCCACTTTTCTGTTTAGAAACGAGGGTCGAGCGAGAGTAAAGGTTTAGTTCACAACTGCATATACCAGACTCCAAGATATGTCTATTCAAACTCAATTACAAGTGAATGTGATTGGTGTAATCAGTTAGGTTAGGGTATATATGTACATCGGGCCGCCGTAAGGCGTTCGGCAACGCGAAATAATAACAAATTATTATATAATATGCATTTAATGGCTTTTGTTCATTTCTTACAATTTGTTTTTATACTTCTTTTTATAATTAATTTATTATTATATCAGAAAAATGTTGCCGGCCGCTTTACGGCAGCCGAATTTATAGCCTTACCTAACCGATCACATCAATAATATTCACTTCTAATTGAATTTGAATACACATTTCTCGAAGTCTCGTATGTATACGCAGTTATGACGGAGCCTTTACGTTCTCGACCCTCGTTTCTAAACAAAAGCCAAATGGCCAGCGAATGGCTACCAACACTTATGCATGTCCTGTCGCAGGCGCACACCTATAGGCAGAATTCAATGTGTTATATCGATAGTTTTTTGTAAATATCTCGGAAACTAAGCGAAACCGATGTACAGACAAAAATTGTTCAAAATATTGGTCGCTATAACATATCCAAAAATCATCAAAATCGGCGAGGACGTAGTTGTTCTGCAGTTTGACCGAAGTTACGAATAGCGAATGAAAATAAAAATATCTTACATTCAAACCGTTACATAATTTTTGATCTGAAAACATGTATTTCATATACAGTCAAAAGTGGTAGATGCAAGAATTCGATGTTTACATACAGCTCCACCCGATCGTGAACGTAGAAAGGGACAGTCAATGAAGGTAAGAGAGAGAGGGGCCGAAACGTATCGGCGCACAAATCGCGGTAAAAAGTGGTTTTATACAAATATACCCACAATGAAATATCGATTTACTAATAGTTACTTTGACATATGGGCCATGATTTACTGTGATTTTTTTTTATTATTTGTCGATTTTTGACACTACATGGTTTTGAAATATTGCTTTCACCCACTCGTCACCGAACATTCACACTTCGTTCTGCCTCTCTCTCTCGCACACACCCTCTCTCTTCCTCACTCGCATACTGAACTTTACTGTACATCGTAGGAAGGAAATAGATGAACAGCGATCACCTTTATTATACTATTCATTGTTAGTCATTTACATACAGTCACTCACAGTGAAAATCGTCCACCTACAGTAACGTTTGATAAATTGCAATAGTTAATTGATTTTGTAATTTTTAATGAGTGATTCTTATAGATTTTTTTATGCTGAATCCGAATTTCTAAACCATTTTCATCTAACTTTTATAGTTTTCGAGATAATCAATGTTAAACAGAAATTGCAATTATTCAGCTTTGGAATTGGTTTATGCTTTTGCAATAGCAGATATTCAGGTTCTTTTTTCACGTAATAATTCTGTGGAATGTAGCGAATAAAATGATATAAATTGTTATTACATTATAGACATGTAAATATATTTAAATAATATTGTAAGCGGAAGAGATTCCTAAATCGCACGAACGTCGGCTGATATTTCCTATTATATTTCAAAAACTAACAATCTAGGAGAAAATCTAATTATATCACACGATAGAGAAACATTTTTGCTAAGCATAACATTAAAGCAATGTGTAAAAATTAGGTTTCTACTTTGAAATTTAAGCCTGATAACTTGGCATAGAAGGAATGAACATACTCGCAAAACGTACACATCAAACAGGTCGACCGTAAGCGTTGAGAACTACTGCTGTTGTGGCGCTGCCGCGCCAACAGCGGCTCGCCGTCGCGTTAGGGATTACCCTCTACATTCGCATCAGTTCGCATGCTTTTTCGGGTCTTCCCCGAAGTTCGTTACAACGGATTCACCTTAGTGCAATTCAAGACTGTATGTACAAAATAAAAGGCATGACCAATCTTTATCAAGTCTTTATTGATTCGTATTCGCCATATAATTGGTGACCCCGACGTGATAAGAAAAAAGGTAAAAAAACAGCACGTGTAGCGTGTCATCCGCGTGGTGTGCAAGTGTCTTCTGAAAGAAAAGAAACAATCGAGACAGTATAAAGCGTGTTTTTTTTTTGAGGACGGTTTCTTGCCCAAGAGACGGATTCTGCTGTGTGTTAAGTGATATGCCGGAAACGCGTTCACAAACGCGAATTACACCAGCTAGAGAGCCCAGTGACAATATGGCCGAGTCTACGAACAATGGTGACGCGAGTGCAGGTCGTGCTCCCCGCGTCCCGCCGTATATAAGTGGTGATCCGGCACTATGGTTTGTGCAACTAGAGACATATTTCGCGTTTTCTCGATATGCCGACGACGAAACGCAATTCCGCCTGGTGATTATGAACGTAACCGGCGACGTTCTCATGGCAGTGCGTGATTTGGCCACGAATCCGCCCGCGACCGGGAAGTATGACGCGGTGAAAAAGCGTATCCTGGACTCCTTCGGTGAATCCTAGGAGGCTCAATTGCGCCATCTGCTGCACAAGCAAGAGTTAGGCAGTGACAAACCCTCCGTATTCTTGTGTAAATTACGCTCATTGACGGGCGATAGGTGCCCGGACAATTTATTGCGCACCCTCTTCTTAGAACGTTTGCCAGAGAAGGTGCGGACCATCCTGGCGGTCAGTGTTAACGCGGACTTGTCGATGCTCGCCGAACAGGCAGACAGAATTTGCGAGCAGTTCGGTGTTTTAGAACCAACTCGTGAGGCGTGCGCGATTGCCAGGCCGCCTTCAACCCTGGCCGCTTCCAGTGAGCTGGTTAGGATCACCGCACAGCTGAACGAGATATGTACGCGGCTCAGCAGGCTCGAGGCACTTGCGCGCAGGCCAGGTCGCTCCAGTTCACGTGGCAGAAGTCCGTCACGACCCAGGGCGGATCCAAGGACGGGCTATGTTACGTCCACCGTAAATATGGTGACAGGGCTCGCCATTGCCACGCACCATGCTCGTGGACCTCGAGGCAGGCGGAAAACTAGGATCGCCGTCTGTCGCAGCGGCTGACAGCGGCGACGCCCCTGAACGTCGCCTCATCGTAGCGGATCGCCGATCAGGCATCAGGTTCCTGGTGGACACCGGCGCCAACGTGTCCGTCTTACCAGCATCCCGCCTGGATCGTTGTCGTCAGCCTGGAGCACCGCTTTTAGCTGCCAACGGTTCCACTATCTCCACATACGGAGAGAAGAAGGTCGAGTTGGACTTCGGGCTCAGACGCTCCTTCCCTTGGACATTTACCATCACCGACGTCACCAAGGCCATCGTTGGGAACGATTTCCTCGAGCAGTTCCACTTATTGCCAGATGTGCGCACGCACAAGCTGGTGGACGGCAAGACGTTACTGAGCATTAATTGTCGTGTGTGCTCTTCCAGGGTCTCCACCATCAGCCGCATAACCCGGAGCGACGATTTTCGCGCTGTTCTAGCCGATTTTCCTACGCTCCAGAGCAGTACCTGGACTCCGGTCAACAGGGTGGCACATAGTGTGGTGCACCCCATCGAAACCACTACCGTTGACGGCTCGTGCACGGCGACTGGACCCGGAGAAACTTAAAGCAGCACGCGACGTCTTCATGGAAATGAAGCGCCAGGGCGTCAGCAGAGTTTCCAACAGTCCTTGGGCCAGCCCATTACATCTGGTCAAGAAGAAGGATGGTTCTTGGCGTCTTTGCGGCGATTACAGACGTCTGAATCAGGTCACGATTCCAGATCGTTACCCCATCCCGTTCATCAGGACTGCACAGCCTTTCTGCACGGTACGACAATTTTCTCTACTATTGACACCTTTTGGTCTATACGAGTTCCCATTCATGACGTTCGGGCTGCGCAACGCTGCCCAGTCCTTTCAACGTTTTATGGACGAAGTCGTCGCGGGACTGGAATTCTGCACTGTGTATATCGACGACATCCTTGTCGCATCTCAGTCAGACGATGAACATCGTAATCATTTGCGACCTCTTTTCACCAGGCTCCAGCGGTACGGATTACTCATCAATCCCGGGAAATGCAAATTCGGCAAGTCAGAAGTCGATTACCTGGGTTTCCGCATCAGCAAGAATGGAATTGCCCCCCTGCCTTCCAAGGTTCAGGCCATCTCGGAGTTTCCGCTTCCCTCGGACGTCAAGGGTCTCAGACGTTGTTTGAGAATGGTCAACTTTTATCACCGATTCATCCCCAACGCTGCAGTCGTTCAGACACCATTGCAGGAGTTGGTGTCCGGCACAAAGGTACGGAATTCGCAGCCAATTGCTTGGACGGACGAGTCCAGAGCGGCATTCCAGCGGCTCAAAGACGCCCTTGTTCAGGCAGCGTTGTTAGCTTTTCCAGCCACGGGAGCGGAAATCTCAGTCCAGACCGACGCCTCAAATACCGCCGTTGGCGCGGTACTCCAACAACGGATCGGAAAAGTCTGGCAGCCGCTGAGTTTTTTCTCGAGGAGGCTTTCTTCTGCGAAGCCCCAATACAGTATCTATGATCGCGAGCTCCTCGCCATCCACAAAGCAATTAAACATTTTTGGAGCGTCTTGGAAGGCAGGGCATTCCACGTCATCACTGACCATAAACCTCTGACGTTTATGTTCAATAAGAAGTACGGCCAGGCTACCGATCGACGGGCACGGCAGCTGTCCTACATATCTGAATTTACCACCGACATTAGGCACGTCTCCGGTTCCCAGAATCAGGTGGCCGACGCAATGTCGAGGATCGACGCCGTTACTATGCCGCTTTCCCTAGACACACGGGAAATTGCTCAGGCTCAGGCCGTGGACAGTCAACTGCCGGATCTACTCAGCACTCCAACCTCGGGTCTGCAGTTACACAAATATACGCTTACAGGGACGAACGACACCCTATATTGCGCTGTATCCGACAAGGGCATCCGGACTTACATTCCGGAACCGCTACGCAAGCATATCTTTGATATCGCCCACAGCATGTTGCACCCCGGAACAGCCGCGACCAAGAAATACATTGCGGATCAATTTGTTTGGCCAGGAATGAACGCCGATATCGCCTCTTGGGTTAAGTCCTGTTTAACCTGTCAGAGGGCTAAGATCGGCAGGCATAATCACCTGACTCCTGTTAAGATTACCGTTCCGGATAATCGTTTCGACCACATCCACATCGATATTGTTGGTTTGCTGCCGTCATCTCATGGTTGTCGTTACCTGTTAACTATAATGGACCGATTTTCTCGCTGGCCGGAGGCCATGCCTATCAGCGAATGTACTGCCGACGTGGTCGCACGAGCTGTTTTCGCTCATTGGATAGCGCGTTTTGGAGCATCCCGTCTAATAACAACGGACAGAGAATCCCAGTTCGAGGCCCAGCTGTTCGCCGCCCTGGTGAAGTTGGTTGGAGGCCGCCGCTGCAGGACGACTGCTTATCACCCGCAGTCGAATGGCCTCGTCGAGCGCTGGCACCGCTCCTTGAAAGTGGCATTATCATGTCACGCGCCGACTGATTGGATGGACGCTCTCCCGGTGGTACTCCTCGGACTCCGGACTGCTTACAGGGAAGACCACAAGGCATCGCCGGCCGAACTGCTGTACGGAACCACCCTTAAAGTTCCAGCGGAATTTTTTGACTCGGAGGAACTGGATTCCGACCCACAGGTTTTCGTCGAGAAGTTCCGCGTCATGATGAAAAGGCTACGTCCAAAACCTACTGCGCACCACATTAAGAACCGCACATTCGTTCACGACGACTTACAGACGTGCACTCACGTTTTCTTACGTGTGGATTGTTCGCGACGCCCTTTAGAACAACCGTATTCTAGGCCTCATCGCGTGATCGCTCGCGTATCTAATCGCGTGTTTCAGATTGATTTTAATGGGAAAGCGGAACAAGTTTCAATCGAGCGCTTAAAACCGGCGTATATGGCTACGGAACCCGTTGATGATGTATCGTCACCATCTCCAGGCTTTTCGTCTTCTACCTTTAACGCGTCTCAATCTGCTCCCACCAGGGGAATATTAAAAACTTATCCAGCTGCGTCTGGTCGCACAAAGAAGACTGTTACCCTCGTTGTACCATAAATCTTGGTATTATTGTAAATATTGTACATACTCTGTAAGCTTTAATCATTTATTGTTAGTTTGTAATGTAAATTAGTTATTATCTTTCTTTCTAAAGGGGGGAATGGTTTGGCGCTGCCGCGCCAACAGCGGCTCGCCGTCGCGTTAGGATTTACCCTCTACGTTCGCATCAGTTCGCATGCTTTTTCGGGTCTTCCCCGAAGTTCGTTACAACGGATTCACCTTAGTGCAATTCAAGACTGTATGTACAAAATAAAAGGCATGACCAATCTTTATCAAGTCTTTATTGATTCGTATTCGCCATACTGTTACCACTATAACGCCATCTATCAGATGTCGCACACATGCAAAGTCAAATTTAAATCCAATTTTATTTAACTTTCTGCAAAACATATCGTTCGTGTCGATCGGTTAACATTTTTTTATTAAAATACATATTATTACGTACTAACATACGTATTAAAATACGTTTTATTTAAAACACAGTCTTCGTATTTATTGAGGATGTATTCTATTGTACTCTGACTTCTGCTCATTATTTTCGAAACTTGATTATGTTTTGCTATGTTCTGCTAGTTCCGCTATGTATAGCTTACATTCTTTTTCTAAAATTCATTTTATGTGAACTGTTCATACTCGATAGTAACTGTAGTTTTCCACCATTAATTGGCTTTCTTAGTATTCAACGGAATTGGCAGGGAGGGGAAAGGCGGGTAGCCTCGGACGGCGGGTAGCCTCGGACATTTTTATATGTTTATTGTTACGTCATATAGAAATACAAATGACGTACATATGACAACATGGCCTCTGTGCTTAAAAAACAATTGCAAACCAGTAATTGTTTGCACGCCAAGCAAATTAGGTCAATATATAAAAATGTCAACTCCAGAAAGGCAGACTACCATAGAAGAACGGAATTTAATTATTCACCATTTCCAACAAGGCAAATCACAACGTGAAATCTCTAAAATAATTAATAGAAGTCGGAGCACAGTTGAATACATCATCAAAAGATATCGCGACGAAAATCGAATTTTAAATAAACCAAAAGAAAGCGGGAAGAAAAGTTACAGTGATAGACATGAGCGGTACATTTTGCAACAAATTAAACAGAATCCAATGCTAAGTGCACCGAAAATTGCTGGTGAAATGGAAGAATTTTTTAATTTGAAAGTGCACCCTGAAACAGTTAAAAGAGTGTTAAGAAAAAGTAATTATAATGGAAGAGTGGCGCGACAAAAACCACACATTAGCGAAAATAAAATAATTTTTAACAAAAAATACTTCGAAATGCACTAAAAAGTATGAAATAATTTCTACTTCATTTATACAAATACCCAACAGCTATTAATAAAACCTATTTACTCGTTAAATCGTATACTAAATACATTTCAACCTTTTCGGAGGCGGCGCAAAATTAATAATACCCGAATATACGATGATGCCAATAACGATTTGATAGGTTGCTGACGCCTGAACTAGGATCTTCCTAGAAGAAGAAAGTTTTTAATTTTGCGCCGCCTCCGAAAAGGTTGAAATGTATTTAGTATACGATTTAACGAGTAAATAGGTTTTATTAATAGCTGTTGGGTATTTGTATAAATGAAGTAGAAATTATTTCATACTTTTTAGTGCATTTCGAAGTATTTTTTGTTAAAAATTATTTCATTTCACACTTTTTAGTGGAACGAGCAGTATTTGTAGGATGCCGTAAGGTGGTTTACCGTTCTTATTGGTTAATTATAACGATAATTTTCAACGATAGTTTTCAACGCTAACAAGGTCCATACATTTTTGCAAGTGGGATCATCGCGGAAATATCTCTTATTAAATGCGAAAGGTTTCATCGCGATCGGTACATGCCTTGCAGAGTATACATATGTATATAGAAATAGTAGAGAATCGGCGACTGCATGCTGACTCATACACCGGTAGAGACACGTAGGCATACGTAGAATACAATGTAGTAGTAACAATAGTTTTTCACGAATATCTCGGAAACTAAAGCTTTCCGTTAATTAAGCATAAGGAAAAAGTTGTTCAGAATCATGCCCCCGACAACATATTAAAAGATCATTGAAATCGTCCAACCTTGAGATTAAAAACTTCGTGTATTCTGCAATAACAATGAAAAAATGAAAATTTTTTTTTAATGGGACCAATCGGAAGACATACCCTACAAGATGCAAAAGGTTTCGTTCCAATTGGTCCATCTATCTCGGAGTAATCGGTGAACACAAGAAAAAAAAAAAAAAAAAAAATACATACTGATCGGATTGAGTAACCTCCTCCTTTTCGAAGTCGGTTAAAAAATAAAAGACCGTATGAAATTATGTTTGGTGAGAAACCGAGCATAGAACATTTAAAGATTTATGGAAGTAGAGTCTTTGTAAGAGTGCCAGAGGAAAGGAGAAATTCAAAATGGGATAGAAAAGCAGATTTAGATATTCTATTAGGCTATGAAAATGTCGGCTATAGAGTTCTAATAAATAATAAAATTATAGTTGCGAGGCATGTTGACATAGTTGAAGATGGTACAAGCTATATAGGTCTTAAAGATGAATGTAGAAGGGTTCAAGATATAAGTTTAAACAAGAGAGAGAATGAAATTGAAGATGAAACTGCAATTGAAAATATAGATGACCAAAATGAAAATGTAGGGTTGAGACGTTCAACTAGAGAAAAAAGAAAACCTGCTAGATTTAATGATGATAATTTTATGTATAATAACATTGTCTATGTAAACTATGTAAATGCTCAAAGTCCTGTATCCTATAGTGATGCAATTAATAGTAACGATTCGGAAAATTGGAAAAACGTGATGAATAAGGAGATGGGTTGTTTAATCAAAAATAAAACTTGGTTGCCAGTTAATAAACCAAAGGGTAAAGAAGCGTTAGATTTAAAATGGGTTTATACAAAGAAAGCAAATAATATGTACAAAGCCAGATTAGAAGTTAGGGAATACCAGCAATATGATTTGATAGATGATATTTACTCTCCAGTAGCGAGAATGCAGACTTTAAAAATTTTGTTGGCACACTGTTGTCAAAATGGTTTGATTATTATGCAATTAGATGTAGAGACGGCGTTCTTAAATGGTAGAGTTAAGTCAGAAATTTATGTCAAACAACCTCAAGGTTACGAAGATGGAACGGATAAAGTATTAAAACTCGATAAAGCACTATATGGTTTAAAAGAGAGTCCTCGAGCATGGTTTGAGTGTTTTGACAATTATTTAAAAGACAGGTTTTGCGAGAAGCGAGAATGACTGTTGTTTATATATGCTAAACGATAACAATAATACAAGTATTTTCTTGATTCTGTTTGTAGATGATTTACTTATATGTTGTAAGGATAAAAACAAGTTATGTTCTATAAAAGATTTACTGTTTAAAAGATTTCAGATGAAAGATTTAGGGGTAATAAAGACTTATTTAGGTATTAATGTAAACTATGAATGCGCAAAGTTATGGATCAGACTCTGGATCAGACAAGTTATATTTTATCAGTAGCACAGAAGTATGAAATTGTAAACTCTAAATTATATGCTACCCCGATGGAGCAAAATCTAAAATTGGAAACCGCAAAATTAACGTGTGAAAAAATTCAATATAGAAATTTGATTGGAGCTCTTTTGTATATTAGCTCAGCAATTAGACCCGACATAAGTTTTAGTGTCAACTACTTGAGTAGGTTCCAAAATGGCTACGATAATACTCATTATAGGTATGCGTTGAGAGTCTTAAAGTATTTAGTTCTAACCAAAGATTTAAAGTTAATGTTTACCAGAAATTTGGACGTTAAGATTATAGACTGTTATGTAGACGCCGACTGGGCAGGCGATGTTACTGATCGGAAATCGACAACTGGTTATATTATAAGATTATATGGAAATGTGATATTTTGGAAGTCGGGGAAACAAAATAGTGTTACAAAATCCTCTACTGCAGCGGAGTATGTAGCATTATCCGAATGTGTGAGCGAACTAAGAGTTGTTAAAAATATTTTGCTAGACTTTAACGTTGAAACGTATGATCCTACAAAAATCTATGAGGATAATTCGGGTGTGATAAACATAGCCAAGTTCGGTAATTTTACTAAAAATTCAAGATACATTAAAACACATTACCATTTTATGAATGAAAGTTACGTTAAGAAAATAATCGATATTATAAAAGTAGACTCTGAGGAAAACATCGCAAATATTCTAACTAAACCTATGGGGCGGAGCAAATTCGAGAAATTTAGAGATATGTTAAATGTACAGTAGTTTGTAAGTTTATTAATATTAATGTAAAGTAGTTTGTAAGTTCTGAATGTTAAATGTTAATGTAAAGAAATGAATAGGTTTAAAATGTTAAAAGAAATATAAATTTAAAGAGGTATATTGAGTGATGGGTAAATTTATATTTACGCTAGTAGCGACATCTCTCACTACGATGATAGGAAGCTATATACATATATTGCGAAGTAAGGCCCACTGTCCACGGAGCGTCATTGTATAGACGCATCAATAAAGCGTATTTGCCGTGACGATACGCCCTCGATAATATTCTTTCCACGAAGCGTACACTAAGCGTACGCTAAGCGTAAAAGAACAAAAAAATATTTATTTGATTTTATTTAGAAAGATGTCGAGTGATGAGGAAGTCCTAACCGTGTTATACAATTATATTCAATAGCGCAGAAGAAGAAAAAAATGGATACATCAATACATAGAAAAAAATATAAATTGCAGACTCTTTGTCGCTGCAAGGGAATTAAATGATTCTGTGTTTAAATCATTTTATTGAATGAGCAAAAATACCTATCAAAATTTAGTGAAAATAATAGGACCATTTATTCAAAAACAAGATACAAATATGCGACAGTGTGTTAGTCCTGAAGAGAGAATTTTAATAACATTGAGGTAAGTAAAATAATTATACATAGTAATATTTATTATAAGTTTAATTCCTTATAAAGAATAAAATTCTCTAGTAATATTAGAAGTATCAGATTGTGTATTAATTTCATCGGTATTAGTACATTGTAAAAATGTAAAATTCGGTGAAGGAGTTGATGCATGTTGTGAGACGTGCGATTCTGTGGACGAAATTGGTGAAAAATTTCGGTACTCTTGTATTGATTCAGATCTTATCTGATTTCTTGAAACTATCTGCTGCGTAGAAGCTTGATCTTGTCGCGGTCGTGTCAGAATTTCATCAAGCAACATTACGACTTTAATTTTAAATTCTTGCATTTGCTCATCGGAAAGTTTATTTACTTCTGGTAACAAGCTAACAAGGAACATTATTCTGTGATCTTCGTTGTTTGGTTTTTTCTTTTCTTGCAAATAATTAACAAAAGCTCTGTCTACTTCATTATCACAAGGTTTAATCTTTTTGAAGGGTTTTTTGAATGTCTGACTACTAACTGATTGATTGGTAGATTCCGACGTACTCTCGTAAATTTCTTCTTCACTTTGTATTTCATTTGATTGTTCATTTACTTCATTTATTTCATCCATTAACTTGTTAACGTGAGAAGGATTGAGTAGATTTCCAGTTGTACCTGTATGAGCTACTGGTTTAACGTAAGGTAAAACAAATTGCATTACATCATGTAAATAATACTGTTTCTTTTGCTTAGCAGAAGATCCACTAGGCGGTTGTTTCAGGCTGTTTCAAATCCATTCCTAACGTTCTTCCATCTTTCTTTGCAGTCAGCCACTGGAGGAGGATGTAATTAATTTATAAATTAATAAATTACAATTTTTCTTTCAGGTATTTAGCTACTGGCTGTCCATTTAGACTATTAGCATTATATTTTGCAAGAGGAGAATGTACAATATCAAGAATTATCGCAGAAACAACGCAGGTTATATGGAACGCATTAAAAGAAAATTATATGGCTGTACCGACTGAAGATGAATGGAAGAGAGTTGCAAGAAGATATTTTGAACTTTGGAATCTTCCGAATTGTTTGGGAGCTATTGACGGCAAGCATATAAGAATTCAAAAATTCCCAAACACAGGATCTGCTAATTATAATTTTAAAGGATATCATTCTATTATTTTACTCGGATGCTGTGATGCAGATGGCTATTTTATCACCATTGAATGTGGTTTTGCTGGAAGAAATAGTGATGGTGGTGTATTTCGTATGTCAGCTTTAGGGCAATGGTTAGAAAGAGACGGTTTGAATATTCCTACTACATCACCATTGCCTTACGATGAAATTGGAAATGAATTTCCATACTATTTTGTTGGTGATAACGCGTTTCCTCTAAGAAGGAATTTAATGAGACCTTATGCTTCGAGAGATTTTAATAATGTAAAAAGAATATTTAATTATAGATTGAGTCGTGGACGAAAAAGTATAGAATGCGTATTCGGAATGATGACACAATAAAATAATTTTTAACAAAAAACAAATCCGAATTCGAAATGCACTAAAAAGTATCAAATAATTTCTATTTCATTTATACCAATATTCCATAGCTTTTAATAATATCTACTTAATCGTTAAATAGGATACCAAATACATTTCAAAGTTTTCGGAGGCAGCGCAAAATTAAAAATACCCGAATATACGATGCTGCCAATAACGATTTGACTGCGGTATGACAAACCTGGTAATTAATAAGTCGTAAGAAAAAAATTCGAAACGTTATAGATACGGCAGAAAACATTCGTATTTGTAACGATTGTATCAGCAGTTGGTAGCACTTCTGATGTACATGTATACTGCAATTTACGAGAGACCACACTTAACTCGCACAGCTCACTAGGTCTAGGGACATTTTTAATAACGTGTGTCATTCCTCTCTTCAGCTTGCTTTTTACTTTGCGATCATTTAAATGGTGGACAGAAATATATGACGTACGATAACTGATACCCGATGATGATATGGTAAAGATACATAATACAACGAAATTTCTATTATTTTTCAAAGAAAAAATTATATCACACACGTTATTAAAAATGTCCCCAGACCTACTGAGCTGTGCGAGTTAAGTATGGTCTCTCGTGAACTGCAGTATAGTTAATCCGCAATGGGTATGTTGATTCCCGTTGAATGTTGTTTACTTGAAATTATCAAATGGGTCATTTGTCATATGTTGCCGACGCACAGTGGGGTATTTGCCTCTCAAATAAGTCCCGTGGAATCCCGCGTTCTGTTTGGTATTATTTGAAAGAGCAAAGTCTTGCCTTTAAAATAAAAAACAAATTAGCTGCTACTAGCTGCTACTCAGGTATCCACAGTGATTTTTACTACTATTGACACCGATGTTGAGTCATCGGTCTCAACGCCAAATCGATCACTTTTTGACATCACCATCGGCGAATTTGTTCTAAATGAAATATGTTGTAGTCCATATGAAATTAGAAGGGGTTTGAGGGGGTAAACACGGGTAATGCAGCGAGGTGACATCACCGGCAAAAATGGGCCTAATCAGGGGTTTACGGGAATACACTTTTCGTCCTTATATGAGAAGATTTAGGGCTGGGTGAGGGCTCATTCGAAAGAGGAAGGTCCAATGCAGGGCGGTCTGGTCATAGTTCAACGCGATTGTGTTGATATCTAATAATATGAGTGTCCAAAGTAGAGGAAAAATCGACAAAATACATCTGCAGATTCCAAATATTTTTTAGGTCACTAAAACAGTTCCGTGACTCAAACGGTGACCAGACCGCCCTGCATTGAACCTTTATTTAGAATGAACCGTTATTTAGATCAAAATCTTCTCATATGAGGACGAAAAGTGTATTCCCATAAAAGCATTCCCAAAGACGAGTTCCGCCATTATCTGGATACTGCAGAGCAAGTCACGTGACAAATTTAGTTCAGCTAGTAGTTATAAGGTGGCGTCTAAGTAGAAAGGCTGCCGATTTGGAATTGTAGTCAGAATCAAGCGTTAGCTTGATTACGTCACTCGAACTGTGCTGCAAAGGCAAGCGAAAACGGCAACATCGCCCGAACGCTGAGTGAGACGCACTATAATCATGCTGTTCTTCTCTCATTCTGAATGTTGAGATTGACCCTTTTCGCTAAGTTTTGACTGCGGCCCGCCTGGATTTTTCACAGCGCCCCATAACCTCGCCCCATTCAAACTATATCGTGTTTGGTATCATTTTAAACAGAAAAATTTCACCAATGCGCTAGTAAAAGTTTCAGTAAAAAAAAGTCAAAAATAAAAAAGTTTTATAACTGAATTAGTATTAGTCACACCGATACGTTTCGGCTCTTTCCTTTGATCATTAGACCGCTCTCTCTTTCCACCACTGTCTATCCTTTTCTACGTTCACGCTTGGCTGGTCGTCGCGTGTCATCCGAGATTCGATACCGTGCTTAGGTAAACGCAACCACTGGGTCCCAATCTTGGTTGAATTTATCCAGGTTTTACTGTACTTATAGCTTTTCTCGAATATGTCGCAAACTAATTAAGTCCGACTCATAGCTTAAAAGAAAGAAGTTGCTTAAAATGTCGAATTTTATAACATCTTCAAAAATTATCAAAGCTGAAGGGGTAAAGTTTTTTCTTCAACTTCACCCTAAATTATATACAAAAGATATTCCTTGCCATCGCACTACATACCAGCCTCGTCAACACATGGCTTTATTTTATTACTGTCCCAATATTTTAGAAATACTACAACACTACCATTCAAATAATGCAGCTTTTGGAAGAAACTGGTCCAGCATATTCTGAATATATGAATGGAAAAAAATGCAAACAGTTTGTGGTTAAAATCAACAAAAATTCCTTCTGTTTTATCCAAAAATTTGGAAGAACATATGCCTCTGGATGAAATTAGTTACTTTAAAAATTAAAATATTAGTTTTGAATTATGTCAGATTACCGACGTCAGTTTAATACCGATCCAACCTCTGTGAAACTGGCCCCTTATTATCAAAAATTTGAAAAATTGATAAGAGTTCTGAATGTACTCCCTTAAGAGTCCTAAAGTTCTCCATCAGTTTTAAAAATAGTTCCGTCGATTAAAGTATCGAAAATAGCATTTGAAAACTTTGAAGAGCTATAACCTTTTTGCTATTAACTTTAGCACTTTGGTTTGACAGAGTTGCACATAACTATTACTT